CGCAAGTTCGTGTCGCTGCTGGAGCGGCAGTGACTCCCATGCCGCACCCCGGCGCCCTCCAGGCTTTTCCTGGGGAAGGTGCCCCAGCTCTGTGGCGTCTGCCCCGTCCCCTGCCTGTGCCGGGAGCCCACATACTCCCATGTACGCAACATGGCTTTGATAATAAATGATTTTACTTCTGAGACCAGCTGGAACCTTTGACATTTATGTGCCCCGACCCCACATCGGGTCCCCCTTCCAGAGCAGAGCTGGCGGTGTGCTGTCTGTGTTGGGGGAGGGCTGCCCTCTGCTGCCCAGGGCCACACTGCACCAGGGTGGTCCCCAAAGGACCCACGGCACTAGGCCACTCCCTCCCAGTGCCAGGCATCTCAGAGCAGAGGCCTCATGGCTGAGTGACCCCTGGTGCAGGTCAGCATTAAGAGGGGCCAGGCTGTGAGGAGCCCAGGCCCAGCCAGGCCAGGGGACAAGCACAGGCAGGTCTGAGGAGGGCCACCAGGGCCCTGCCGCACCCAGCCCTATTGGGATAGAAGGAGCCTGAGATCATTCGATGGCTCTCACGCCCCCCTGCCCGCCCCCACCACTCCAGCGTGGGCCTTGATGGCCCCTGGAGGCAGCAGGGATGAGGCTCCTTGGGCAAAAGCCCATCCCAGCCCCAGAATCCCACCGGGAAGGAAAAGGCCTGTCCTTCCTGCCTGGGTCACCGCTCAAGGGCAATGGGACGGGCACGGCAGGCAGCCCAGACACCCCTCCTCCTCCTGCCCTGCACACCGGCTGCGCCTCTTCTTGGCTCCGAGGAGGCCCTGCCCTGCCCCTCCACCTTGGCGGGAGCAGACACAGATGAGCTGCACGGAGCCTGCCTAGACCCCACCCACCTGAAGGGGTGGGCAGAGGCTATATCTCACCTGTGTGGTCCAATGGGCACTGTATTCGTGGTCCTCTGTCCTCTTTGACCCTGACCCAGTCAGAGTGTCCCTGACAACATGACGAACACAGGCCCGCAGCAGGACGTGGAGGTGTGCGCGCGGCTGGCAGGAGCCAGCAGAAGCGAGCCCTGGCTACCTCAGCCCGCTCCTCACGGTCCGCCCTGGGAGCGCGGGGAGGGCTGGGGCCCGGGCAGGACTGAGCACGGGCCGCAGCTGCTGGGGCTCTTTGGGGATCCACTGTGCGTGTGCCTAGAGGACGGGCAGTGTTTGGGAGCTCAGAGGGAGGAGGTCTTTCCCGCTCGTTACCAGATACAGTCTCCAGGGCTGATCGGTCTGGGGGCAAACATCCAACACGTGATCTTGGCTGCAAACCGCTGCACACATCACCCCAGCTCCACAGCCAGGAGCTCGTGGGCAGCGGGCTGGGAAACGCGCAGAGCCTCAGGTCAGCAGTGAGGGCAGGGAGCTGCATGTCCTCCCCTCACCGCTGCTGGCACCAGCACCCAATGGCGCTGACTGGCATCTCGACCCTTTCCCCTTCAGCCAAAGACCGGAGGCCCTGGTCTTTCTGCTTCCATCTTTTCAGAGCAGGGGGGCTTAGAACAATGGACTTGGTTGGGGTTGGAGTCCAGCCACTTCTCCACGTGTGTCTTCTCGTCTCCCGGGCTCCCCCGAGCCTGGCCCAGCCCGGCAGCTCGCCCACCCTCAGGCCTCCGAGTGGGCAGTGGCCACACCGTCCGCAGGGCTCCGGGCCAACTGTTCTCCAGGGAGAGTCCCACTGATGTTGTGGATGGCACCATAGGTCTGCTGCAGCTGCGGGGACAGGGCTGTCCTCTCCGAGGCCAAGCCACTCAGAATCCGAGGCACGTAGGGCTGTCAGCAAATGGCGGAGTTAGTGCTTGGGTGGGGGCGGGCGTGGGATACCCCTTCTCTCCACTGCCACCCCCTCCTCCCAGCAGGACACAGAGTGCTCCTGAAGGACACATACGAAGAATCAGCAACATCAACTAGGACGCCAGGACCCAAACAGTGCCACCCGCAGAACTTCCAGCAGCCAGGGCGAAACAGAACGCACAAGTGCACAGTTCTCACGATCACACAGAAGGAAGCGCCACAGAGAAGCTTCCTCTCTTTTTCAGAGGAAACAAAGTTCCCAGCACTGGATTCTAGAATTTCTCACTTGATAGAGGAAACAAGTCTGTCTACATAGGCAGGCTTAGAACACGGTCAGTGGGACTTCTGGGATGCGGAAGGAATCTGTGTGGCTTTCGTTTCCTCCCGTTCCCAGGCAGAGTCCTGCTCCCCTGTTCCCACCCCCAGGCTGAGAGTGAGGGCGTCACCTCATGCACCTGTCCTGCCTTCCCCTTGCCGAGCCGGCACAGCCACAGCTGTGTCTCTGGGGAATGAGCCTTTCTGAGGACCTTCTCCTCTGGGGCCTGTCCAAGGACAGACACTGATAGGAGGGCCTGACACCTGGGAGGCAGCCCCTGGGAAGAACACTGCTGATGAGATCAGCCGCTGGCTTGGCCTTGCATCTGTCGCTAAGGCCAGGTCTGGGGTCCCGTGGCTCTGCTTTCCTGGTGTCTTCCTACCTCCGTGTCTTGCTCTGAAGCAGGTGCAATGTTCATTTCTTGAATTGAGAGAGGAGTTTGTGTGACACCCTCTTGGTGCCTGGCGGAGGCCCCGGCACGGGCAGGTGCACCACTGGCACTACAGCTTCATCAAACCCTAGCGCCTTGTAATGTCGCTTCCTAAAGCCCCACACTCGCCAGGCGTTAAACACGCGGAGGAGGAAAGTGAGCGGGGAACTGAAGCCAAGGGGGATGGGCACACACCCCCGGCAAGACTGATTATCTTCCCAGCGCTTAAATGTGCAGGTTAGAACATCCAGAGGGGCTGGGGATTCCTTCTCCGACCTTCATTCAGAAACTTGCCTGCCACGCGATCAAGGGACTTCTATCTTAGCGAGAGACAGTCACAGCACATTTGCCAGGGCCCATCTGGCTGGGGGTGCTACAAGCAGAGTGACAAAGGGCAGCAAGCACCGGGTTAGGCAGCACAGACAGCTTACTGTGAACGGTGGAGGCTCTCGGGCCTCTGCCTCGATTCCTTTGTCACCTGCTGGTTCTTCTGCCTGCAGACAACAGCGAAAACTTGCAGTGAAAACACAACTGATCTCCCTGAACTAACCCCCTCCAAACAGACTATTAACACCCGGAATAATAGTACCAGCTGGCACCAAGCTCCCAGGCAGCCAGGGAGGATGGGGTG